CCTTCTTTAGTTTCTGAGCCATTAGGTGGTGTCTGTGGGTGAGATTCGACCACTCCCTTTATAATGAGTCAGTAGGTGTTGTGAAAAGGGTGTGCAGGATGCTCTCCCTGTCAGTAGGTGGCGCTTGCTTGGAGGAGCAGGCTACGCTGTTGTTTTTATGTCCTGTTATCAGCTCTTGTTCCGCTCACTGGCAGCGGCCATCTCTGGGCTGGTGTCCGCAGGTCTCTCCACTTGCTAGGGAGCCCACCAGCAGTCCGGGATGCAGGGGAGGGGAAACGGCCTATCCACCTACACTTCCCGCTGGTCTCTGGGCTGCTCCAGCTTCCAGTTCTTCTCTGTGACCTCCTCCTGTGCAGTCTCCCGTGGTCTCCAGTACTCCTCCTTCCGACCCTCATCCGATGTAGGCTCATCTTCTTGTTTCTTTCTTCTAATTTTTGCTAGAATCTGTCTTTTCTGCAGAGACACTCTGTTTGGTGGTGTTTCTCATCCGTCATCTTCTCTGGTTCTCTCCCATCACTCTGATTAATAGAAATCATCCCAACTGCTTTCAGTGTTGACTTCTCCGAGTCTGACCTCAGGTCCCAGCCTGTTCACTCTTTCACTGGACCTTTTGCTGTTCCTGAACATGTTGAGCTTATTTCCATCCCACGACCTTTGGAATAGCTATGCCCTCTACCTAAAGCACATTTCTCCTAGAGATAACAGGTAGGCTTAGAAAGACAGGGGCAGCAGCCTCACATATTTTCCTGTCATAGCACATAGTCCCTGCAACTTTATATTGATTATTCACTTGTTTATTGTCTAACTTCCTGAATAGCATTTAAACTCCACAAGGATAGAATTTTGTTGGTTTGTTTCCTGCTATATCCTTACTGCCCAGAACAGTGCCTGGCACAAAGCAGGAGCTAAATGAACATGTGGCGAATAATAAAGAAATGGTAAGACACTGACTGTGTGGCATGTCAAAAATCCTACTTTTCATGCCAAAGGGTGGTGTTTTAATTTTAAGTAAAATTTTAATAATTATTTCTAAGATCAAGCCCAAAGTAGTTGAGAATAAAACAAGATCCACTCCCATTGTCATTTTGGAGTTACATAAGTAGCCTAGATCACACCAGGGACAAAATAAATAATTTCAGGGCACTGGATAGTCATTGGTTACAGCTTTACAAACCTTTAGTAATAAAGGACCCTTCATTTGTTTCTGCATTAGAAGTTTTGGAGAATTTTTGACAAGTTGAGGAGGAAATGGCAAAAGGCATAGCTACCTTTTATTAAATGCTTAACTTTCTGCAAATTGCTAAAGTACTACTACTCTTTTTTCCATTTCAAACTTTGTCTCAGTGATTTTCAGCACATCATGAATTACTGAGCTGTTTTTACCAGCATCACATCCACACAGCAACTCTGTTAGGCAACATCATTGCTTCCTTTTTAATTGCTTAGGTTATTTTCCCAACAGCTCATGGCAGAACTGGGTCCTCAATCCATGTCTTTCAACTCCAAATTTCAAGCTCTCTGCACAAACTTCGTTTATGGTAATATTTGGTTATGAACCCCTAATGCTTTTGGAAGATGCTGGTCCCTGGGCCACCACTCTCCACCAGGGTCAGAGATCACCAACCTGGAGGCTTAGACCAGTGCATTGTCTCGGGCCTGGAGACAGCGATCTGTAGAAGCAGAACAGAACATATTCAGACGCCAACACCAGTTTAGTTTTTAGAAAGAAAAGGGATGATTCTCCAGGTTAGGACACAGGGCATTGATTTAGGGTATTACTTTCCCTTAAATTTCTCCCTTTTGTAACATAGGGATTTAGAAGGAAAAAGCCAAATATCTCAACTTACTAATTCTGGTCAAGTCAATTATGTTTTCCATAACAATTCCATGATCTCTACAATATTCCACAAACTTTTCCTTGAGTTCTGTGCTCACATCTGGTTCTCGGCCTGTGGGAAGAGTGACAATGACTGCCGTGTCTTGTGTATTGGTCACAGAGGTACATGAGGGGACAGGGCTCCAGAGGGATGGGAAATGGACAGCACCAATTGGATGCTGAGGCAGAAGTCTTACAGGGTGGAGATAGCCTGTCCTGAGTTTGACATCAGTAGGATATCTTTCTGGCATGATGAGAGATTATGTGATCGTCCTATCACTGAGCCTAAGGGTTTACCAAGGGAAAGCATCTGTCTTCTGAAGGGGAGAGATAGTCCAAGGTAAGATTGGGAAGATCACTGAGTATCTAGGGTTCCTTCTCCTCCCCTCTCTTCTCACCCCAAGATGAGTGCCAGCATGAAAATACTCTACCATAGAGCTCCATAATTTGGGATTTTCCCTCATTGTTGGAATTCTCAGCATGATAGATAAGGTAGCCAACATAGTCAGTTTCAAGGATGTGAGCTAAAGTGTGCCCATCGTCTGTGGAGGAAACAGAATACAGCTCAGAACTTCTTTGGACCATGGGAAGCAGTTGAAACCCTTTACCTGTTCTTTCCCACAAAACAAATCCAAGTGCATTTCCTGAAAGAGACAGAGAGCCAGGATGTCCAGTGCCTTCCATTTGCATCTCCCTGAGCTTCATGAAATGACTCCAAAGATAGGGTAGATTGACTTCTAATGGTTGGAAAACTTAGCCAAAGCAGCAACTCACACTTTATCATCCTCCCTGATACCTACCCACTCCCCTCAGCATCTCTGTCCGTGATGTGTCTTTGTCCTCTAAGCCCCACTGGAACCACATACCTGATGCTACATCCTGAGTAATGGGTTGTGGCAATGGCCACCAGGCATCATCAGAAACATGGCAGGGATGAGAAGCTGTCCTGCCAGTTTACTTTACTTTACCTGCCAATTGGCTTTTGTTGCAGGAGGTACATACAACCAAACTGCCTTCTTGAGCTGATGGAATTCTGTGTCAAGCATTGGCTTTCACATACAGAGTTCTCCCCAGTTCAGGATATTGGCTATTAGATGGCCCCTGTTATATTACCCAAAGAAGCATTGATCAAGAAGTGATCCTGAAGCTATTGGGGTTTATCAAATTCCTTCCAGCTGGAAGTAGACTTTAGAAAGAATGTTTTTGTATACTTACAGTCAGAACTACATTCACCATCCTTTCCTGTTGAGTCACAAATGAAAGGAACTTCAATGCACTGTCCATTTACGCTGTGAAACAGCATGAGTTAATGCCCAAGAGATATTGGTCAGGCTGGCTCCCTTCCCCTCTACTCTCCCCATAACTTGAGTTTCTGATTCCACCTAAGTTTCAGACATTTTTTTGTTCAGTTACTGGAGAATATTATTTTGCTTGGTTTATCACTCTTGCTACTACCACTACTTGCCACTGTTACTGTTACCACAAGTACTTGTCTAGATCCTGAGCACAGTGTTCATGACCTGGCAGCCTCTCAAGTAAGTGCTTTACAAATGTTACCTGAGTTGGTCCTCACAAAAAGACACGAGGGAGAATTGTTATCAACTCCTCCTACCCGCAGGAAAATGGAGGTGGAAAGAGATCAGTTACCTTGGCAACATAGCAAGTAAGAGATAGATTCAAATTCAGGTTGTTGATTTCAAATTCTATGCTCTTAACGCATGCTATATTGTCGTGCTTCTTAGGATTCTGGTGTGCCTCTACCTCCTACTTTCTCCACTCTCATTAAATTAATTCCTGTTACCAACTCTTGTCTCTGAATCTTGTGAAGCCCCAGATCCATCAAGTCCTGGATCAGTACCAGATGAGGGACTATGATTTTGGACACAGGCTCAGCATGTGTGTGTGTACACATTTGAATATGGGTATGTATGTGCACACTTGTGTGTGCCTGTGTGTATATATTCAAGATCATATCCAGGCTTCAATTTTTCTTTTCCCAACTAAAGAAATCTCCTACGTAGGAATAATAAACATTGAAGGTTCCAAAAGTTGGAAAGGTTGGAGGTTGGGTGAAGGATGAAAAATTACCTATTGGGTACAATGTACACCATTCAGGTGATGGGTATGCTAAAAGCCCAGACTTAACAACTACACAATATATCCATGTAACAAAATTGTGTTTATAACCCCCACATCTATAAGAGGAAAAAACATCCCATGCTTACATTGTATGGAATTTAAAGTAGAGAGAAGCGTTCTTCAGGGCATGGATGCGTTCCACGAAAACCCTCATGCTGCCATTCTCTTCAATCTTTTCCTTATGATCAGAGGCCAAGTAAATGGAATACCAGTCTCCTGAAAGCTGCAATAAATAGTAAAAGGATTGGGTAAGAAAAGAGGAGAGGGGATACCACATGGACAATTCTCTCCTTGGACTCTGGCCAGTGGGCTAAGACTTATGATGGTGTTGTGAAGATAGAATTAGAACTCGGGTCAATGGGCACCATGCCTAGGGCTCTTTCCACTGACCCTCCAGAAAAATGAAGGTCCCCAAGCACTGTCATCTTTCCATATGATGCAATTGCTCTTAGTACAAGGCCAGAAACTACCCCTTTTGTCTAATATGTTAAGGAAATTCTGCCCCATCCCCTGAATAAGACCCACTTGGCTTCAGAATCCTCCTAGCACTCCCCCACACCGCAAGTCAAAAGTTACTACACTCCATGGCTCTACCTTTGACAGATCAAAGTTGCTTGTCACAGGATCAGCGATTTCTTCTGTGTGGCTACAAACTAGGGCCAGGCCCAGACTCAGCAACAGCAGCTTCATCTTGATAGGGGACGGCACTGTCTCCTCTTCAGTTGCCAGGGGTGAGTCTTTCTCTAGCAGCGGCTCCTCTATCTTTATATCAATTCTGGATCCAGATTTCTGTACATGGGCCACCACCTTTATCCTCCCCCTCCATGAAATAGTCTTTCATTCACTGGTGTGAGGCCAATAATTGTTCCTACCCTTTTGAAATGTGGCAATTCCACCTCTGTTAGATCTGGTTAGTGACCTTAAATTTCTCAGAACCTCTTCTCAAGAAAAATAGTGGATGTTCCAAAGGGCTGCCATTTGGAACCAGATTGAACTGTGGTTCTGGCTTTGGAATCAGAAAGCCAATTATGTGTGGCCGGAATGGGTGTAACAGGGAAATGGAATGTGTGAGAATCTTTGTTCTACCTCTTACACAGTGTGTGGAATTATGTGAGTTACTCAATTTTTACAAGTCCCAGAAACAAAGAAACTGTCTCTACCAAGGATAACAGTACCTATCACAAAGCATTAAAATAGGATTAGCTAAAATGATGTCTTTAAAGTATGGCATCTGGTATTCAGTACATTTTACTTCCTTCTCCATATTATGTGAACCCAACCACTGCCACCTTTCCTCTCCCCCCAATGAACGAACCAGCATCTAATCACCATGTGTAAGTCTATACGTGGTCCCAGAAGAGAAAAGAAGTACAAGATATCATTTCTTCCCTCTATGAATCTTCAATGAAGTTGGGAAGATGCTTCATATACTTAGTAACAACTTGATTCTAGAAGCATATGAAATGACCCAGCTGAGGGGTAGGTACCAAGTCCAGACTGTATACAATAAAGAGGTGCTGTTGGGGTGGTGGCATCACACAGATAGTGACTAACACAGGCTCAGGGGTCATGCACACCTGGGCTTCATTCCTGTCTCTGTGATTTGGAACCCATGAGCACAGATTTTAATCTCTCTGAGCCTTAGTTTCCTCTTTGTGGGGATAATTATAATTCTGCCTAACAGAATGCTGCAGGGATTCAATGGGAAGATGTGCATAAAACCCTGAACATGATGTCTAGCACACATTGAGCTGGCAGGGGCAGAGAATGCTTCCTGGCTATGATGGGGCTTGGGGTAGGTCTTGGCCATTGGGGAGGGTATGAAGATGTGGAGAGCGCATGGGCTCAGCATTCCAGGCGAGAGAAACATTGTGAGACAGGATCCTGTGCTGTCAGCTGGGGCCGTTAGAAGCTATGGCTCATTTCTGCCTTGTGCTAATGGTCCCTTTCTGCACCCCAAAATCCAGGAAGAGGCTGGTGCCATGGGAGGAGCTGAGCACAAGGCAATGAACCTAGGAACTGTCATGTTCTGTTTGTGACCTACTTAAAAAGTCATCCCAGGCTGGGCACAGTGGCTCACACCTGTAATCCCAGTGGTTTGGGAGGCCAGGGTGGGAGGTTTGCTTCAGGCCAGGAGTCCAAGACCAGCCTAGGCAACAGAATATGCCCCCGTTGCACAAAAAAGTTAGCCTGGCATGGCGGTGCACACCTGTAGTCCTAGCTACTTGGGAGACTGAGGAGGGAGGATCCCTTGAACCAAGGTGTTGGAAGTTGTAGAGAGCTAAGATCGTGTCACTGCACTCTAGCCCAGGCAACAGACTGGAAAAAAAAAGTCATCCCAGCCCCTTGTGTGATCTTTCCTAGTTCATGCTCAACTGATATTAAGTCACAAATGTTTTGAGGCCAGATCATGTAGGCCTTTGAATGCCATGTTAAAGGTTTGTGTCTTTATAAAAATGGGAAGCATTTGAACAGTTTTAAAAGCAGAGACATGGCATGATCAGAGGCGTGTTTCTAAAAATCCATCTGACAACAGTTGGAGAAAGGACAGCAATGGGCAGGCAGTAGCAATAGCAGGAGAGGTTGCTGGGAGATCACTTAGGAAGCTATTCAAACATGCAGGCAAGAGATCATGTTAGCTTGGAGAGACGTGGCTAGTGTTGAGGGATTTTTAGATATAAAATGAATAGGGTTGGGAAATGTATTAGATTTGGGGTTTAGGGAGTGTGAGGTGTCAAGATTAACTTCCAATTTTCTTATTGGTCTAGGCAGATGAATTGTAGAGTTATTCATGAAGACAGGAAAACCTGGAGGAGGGACAGATAAGAGCAAGACGTTTCAGCCACTATTTTGAAATCATATCTGTGTGTGCATGTGAGTAGGAGTATGTTTGATTTACTGTGTGCCAATAGAACAAATGCTGTACAAACCTAC